GTGGCCTGTTCATGTATCACCACTACAGACACCTGGTTTATTGACAGAAGTAAACAAAAATAAATATGAATAATATTTAAGAATTACAAAACAAACAAGCATGGGCCTCACATTCACATATAAAAATAGTTGTAAATGGCCCCAGCCTTTAGTTCAGCTAATCTTCTCTCAGGTAAGACACTGACTAATGATGGTGACTCAAGCAGGAGTGAGAGTCCACCAACACAGGACTGAGCAGAATGAGGACAACTGGGAGTGCACCAGTAAAACCACTAAATAAAATAAGATTAGCGAGATCATTTCAATTATTGAGCTTATTCACATTATTATTGTTATTGTTGACATTATTTCCATGAAGATCAATACATTTTGTGAGTCAGTGCATGTAACTTGATCTCCCCATAACATGACAAGTTTATAATGTAGCATCTTACTGTGATATTTACCTGTGGGTGGATGTGGCACCAGGTGAAGTGAGTTTCACGTGGACTCCAGCAGCAGCTTCAGCCTGGCTGGCTTTCTGTGAGAGGACAAGCTGCTGTTTCTGAGCTCTCTAAAAACAGACTCTCTCTTTGCTGGTGCAGTGAAATTATTCCAGGTGAAGAGAAAGAAACAGCTCAACCTTTAAAGCAGCTGCTGGTGGATCCACAGATAAAATCCTCCAAGTGAACCGGCTACAAGTGCTCCCTGGCTTTATGCAGAAGTCTGGACCATCATCTCTTCTGATCTCTTGGATCCACCGCCTCCTTTGGTCTGGGTACGTCGTGAAAAGCATGGTGGGACAGATACGGTTGTTTTCTTGGCCCTACAAGAACAACCAGGAACTGAACAAAAGAACCGCGCCGACACTGAGACATTTTCGTCACTGTCTAATGCTAACGCTACAGCCACAGGAAGTTGTTGAACACCACATCCGCTTTAAAACCCGGAAGCGTGAAAAAGGTCTGTTGACAAAAAGACAGGAGACAGAACTGGAAGTGGCAGAAATGAAGATGTTCAGGTTCTCCTTAGGAGAGACAAGGACGGAGAAGATCAGGAATGAGATCATCAGAGGTACAGCACAGGTTGAACAACTGGGAGAGGAAGTTAGAGAGGACACACTGAGATGGTTTGGACATGTCCAGAGGAGGGACAGTGGTTTGGACATGTCCAGAGGAGGAACAGTGGTTTGGACATGTCCAGAGGAGGGACAGTGGTTTGGACATGTCCAGAGGAGGGACAGTGGGTATATTGGTAGAAGGATGTTAGAAATGCAGCTGCAGGAAAAAGACAAAGAGGAGACATATGGATG